AAGATATGACACTACGTATCTGGTCAAGCTGTGGTAACCAGAAAATACTGCCCTCCTATCCAGGTGTGAGCTGCATGGTGACTTGAGCTTTTTTTATTTATATAATACTCAATTATTTAACTGTGCAAAAGTGGTTTTAACATATTGGTAAACAAAAAAGAAGACATGAATTTGAATAATGAAATAAAGATTCAATGAGTCTTGATACATTCTTATATTTAGATTAAAATCTACTCATTAGCTCAGTAGCGACATGTTAGACCGCTGTTATTTGATCATCATATCAATAGGTGTACTTTAACATTATGCATTTAAAGTTAAATTTAACTGAGGGGTCAAAATGCCAGACATCATCATAAGAAAGCGTGTTCCTCAAAGAGGCAGCGGCTATGTCCAGAGGCACAGATGTGATCAGTGTGAAAAGCTCCTCCTACTTCTTAAAAAAAATAATAAGAAGAAACAAAACAACTGATCAAAGTTTCTTAAAATAACATGGACAAGTCAACTATAGTGAAAATAAAGAGCGCCCGTTGCATTTTATACCTGTTTTCTGAAAAGATACACGCAAAATCCTTCAAAGTAAAAGCCCGTGGGGATCGTGAGTCCAACTTGACTGGCGGTTTCTCGTTTTGATCAAGCGTTTGGGTTTTTTAGCCTCAGCTAGTAACCCAGATGGGAGGGACTAGGAATCAACAATGAAACAAGCTGAGAAATGAGAAGAGGTGCGTCCACACAGTTTTGCCGTCAGCCTCGCTCTTATGCCTGTCTACACAGGATGTGTTCAGGTTTGTTCGTAATTAAATGTTTGTAGAAAGCAGTCACCCAAATTCACATATCCTGCAGTCTATAAGTTTAGACTCCAAGTAAAAGCACAGTTTTTTGCATCTGCATATAAAGCGGAAAAGATTAAGACAGAAATGTCTCAGTTTGATCAGATGAAGATGAGATGAATGCTCACTTCATGCCAGTATCTTTAGGGAGGCAATGTGATCATATTGACTTTTAGCAAATGCAGTGAGATGTTTTTATTTTATTAGATTTGGCTGTTAACATTGAAGCTAAGCTAATATAAACACAACATGGGAATTTAGATCTGTAGGTCCTTGCTATTAAAACTAAAATCACCTGATGATTATTTTACTGCTGTTAGAGGAAAGTCAGCTAACCGTCAGGTGTCGGTAATGAAGTCTGCTGAGGAATGCCAAAAACTGAGCAGGCAGCCACTGTTACCTCAGATTTGAGAGAGTTAATATTATTGTAGCAGCACAGCGTGTCGTGGTTTATGAGATGAATCATCATCAACTTGTAAATTCTGAACACATTTTAATGATCACTAAATCACTGTGTTTTTAATTTTCTATAATAATTAGTCAACAAAACACACCTCTCAGCTTTTCATGTATTCATGTATTTTGAAACTGGGTTTTTTTGGAGACGTGAAGTATAAATGTGCCCGTCTCTAAAGCACTCTGGGTCAACGTCTGCTGTTTAAATGTGCTTTAGGGTATTAAAAAAATAGACAACATAGAAAAAAATAGGTTCAAACATTTTCCATGGATATTTAAGGTATACGGATTCATTTCCAAAAATGTTGTAATACAGTTCAGTGGACTACACACTGAACTGAGGATAGTATCAATCGATCTGATACCAATACCAGTTTTTGCTATACAAACTATTCATATTTGAATCCGTCCGCCCACCTCTACAAGGTATCAAGTATATCTATCTATCTATCTATATATAGATATAGATATATAAAAAACAAAGGGAAATGAAATCGTGGTGCTTACATTGCTGCTGTTGTTGTTGGTGGAGGTGGGGGCTCCATTTGCACCAGCCCCTACCTCTGCTGCACCTTGGCCTCCAGCACCAAACATGGCCCCAGGGCCAAACTCTGTTCCCGGTAGACCGTTTTGAGGAGGGGGTGGAGGTGGGAATGCTGTAAAGGGTGGGGCCACCAAACCCTCCTGTCCTCCTGTCGAATCCTGAGAGCCCTGCGGGAGCGGGGGAAGGAGGGGGAGGGGGGAGACAGAGACAGCTTAACATATATTCTCAGTGAGCTTTTTACAGCGACTGCAGCTCCCTGACGGAGAGAATGAGGGGGTTAAAATCCTGCCTATCAAATTTCACTCTCTCTTCCTCTCTCTCTCTCTCCTTTACCACGCAGCCACTGCTTCATTCCCTGCCTCGCTTTACCTCCATATCTCTGACAGGCATGTGTTTTCAGTCAGCCGACCATGAAATATTTACAGCAAACAGATCTATTATTAGGGCAGTATGGTGGCGCAGTGGTTAGCACTGCTGCCTCACAGCAACAATGTCCTGTGTTTGACTCCCAACATCTAGCTGCAGCCTTTCTATGTGGACTGTGGGTAGCCCTGCTTCCTTCCACAGTCCCAAGTCATTATTACTGGGGTTAGATTAATCCAAGTATGAATGTGAGTGCGAATGGTCATCTCCCCAATAGACTGGTGACCTGCCTCTCGCCCTGTGCCAGCTGGAATAGCGACCCCGATAAGGAGGGGATCATCTATTATTAAGTTGCAAAATTTGATACAAGGTTTGAGATACAAAGATGCTTCTAGGATCGATCGACAAGTCGGTAGATAAATACTAACAGCGGCATGTAAACTGTGACATATTTACATACACTGCTGCATTGTGTGACTACTTGGGAAGATAAGCTGTACTTCAGATTGGATGCGGGAGCTTCACTGCCTATGGCTCTGTATCAGCAGCAGCATCACCTACAGATTCTTTAAAGCTGCTGCTGCTGCTCCAGCACGCTCACAAATACACACACATATATATCTTTAAGTTGTGTGTGTCTGGGTGTGTGGTGACTCTGCACTATTGCTTGCTTCAATCATTTCACACACTCAAGGGCATTTACAGCAAAGCCAGAGAAAAAGAAAGGTAGAGGATGGACGGGGAGAAGCAGAATGAGTAGGTAGGCTGAAAGAAAAGATGGATTTATTTAAAAAAAAAAAAAAAAAAGACCATCAAGTTTGGGGTCAGGGCTGCTTTTTCTCTACCAAGCTAGGCAGGATGACACACCGCATCCAACACCATTAACCACTGGTCTGGTCTCTGCCATGGGCTGTATCTGGGCTGGGTGACGCCTAGAGACACTCTGTCTCCAGACAGCCTTTTTAATTAGGCAGAGTAACTAAGATGCCGCAAAGCAAATGGGCTCTTTCCCTTTCTCTAATCCTATAGCCCGACTGCTTACTGTTCTTCTGCAGTCACAGCCGCAGTGGCTGTAAACAGTCAACCGAGGCTAAAAGGCCCATCTGCAACACAAGCAGCTTCCTGGAGTCTGAGTCCAGCTGATAGTGGAGGAATCAGAGGAGACTGCGTAATCCACAAACAGGCTGGAAAAATCTGGGGAACTCGTCCACTACTGTTCTGACTGCAGGAAATGCATGTTAGGGGAAAAGGAAAAAAGAAAACTGTGCGTTTTGCATCCAACTACGGTCTTTGTCACCTTGTGATAAAGACGGGCCATCAAAAACCTGTTCAAAAAGAGATAACGTGCCATTAAAATTCATTAGCTGGGCCTTAGCCTGGCTATGTTAAATCAAAGCTTAAGCGTTCTTGTTAGGGCATGTGAGCTCATAAACGTGCAGTAGCCTGTGTTAAGCCACCAAAGGGTGTGTTCTTCAGGCATATCCTGACCCATGGCTGAGTCACAAAAACACACTCATAGTGCAGAAAGGAGGAAGACTGAGTGAAGAAAGGAAAGAGTGACAACATAGCAAGGAGGAAAGGGGAATTAGATCCGAAAAAACTGGACTACGTGCATTTATGCAATGCTAATAACTCAAGCTGCCGTAGTCAGCCAAAGACGGTCACACCTACTCGGCAACCAATGAACTGCTTCTGTGAGAGGGGGAGTAATTCCTTTTAGTCTACATTACTATAAATACTCATAAAAGCTATTGTTATTTTAAAGGGAATCCCTAACTATTTTTCCATGTTGTTGAGAAACCAAGCTTCACATCCAGTTTGGGCTGCTGTGGACCTGCTGCTACTAACAGACAGCGGGGCTCGGTGAAGCTGTGGCTGCATGCGAGAGTCCAAACATTCAAATAAACCAATCCTGGTGCGTTTACACTGAAAGCCTTGAGCCTTTCACACAAACATTGGTAGAACAACACTGACAGGTTAGCTGAGTGCTTTTACATGATAGGTTTTGTTGTTTGCTGAGCTGTGATGTGCAAAAGTTTACACTTGACTTTTTGGTCATCTGTTCTCACAAAACACAGCCACACTGACTATTTCCAGCAGTAGCTACGGCGTAGATTTCCGGCTGAAGCATAAATCCACGGTAATGGCAGACCAATATTAATTTGGCCGGATGAGAGCATATCAACCAAACAATGGACCAGCTGACCTCTTCTAATGCCGCCGCCTGCTTGTAGCATAATTAGTCATACGAAAAAAAGCATCCCGAAGTATTGTACCATTCATCATCCTGCTGCTGAGGCTTAACAAAACAAACAGAGTGCTTATGACCATGTTTGTGGACTCAGATACCAAATTAAAAGATACAGTTTTTTTAAATGAATTATTGGATAAATAAATGACTAATAAGGACTAATAAACAGGACAAGGAATAAAGCTGTCACTGGATCCCGATCAGACTGGATAAGACTACAGTGTTAGGGTGACACAGGCATTCCCGACCCGCTGACTAAGGAGCAGTGCTGCCCTACATGGCAACGACACATACTGAAAAAAGGAGAGAGGGGGGAAAGGAAAAAGAAAACCGTGGAAAAATGAAAGGGGGACTTAGCGGGGAGAGAGGAATTATAGGAAATAATGAGACACTGCATTAGAGTTACGTCTGGTTTCAAGAAAAACTTTCCAAAGGAAGAATTTTGACGCTGTAAGATAAGATTAAACAGGATACGCTTCTTATTAAAGTGTCATGAAAAGCAATCTGAAAAAAGGTGAAAACAGAGTAGCTTCAAGTATCAGCTGAAAAGCTCGCAAAATGAAAACCTGATATCGCAAATAAGAACGAAAACCATGACATATTCAATTCAAAACACACAGTGGGCGATCTACTCGAGGGACCTGAGACTGTGTTTCTACATACACACAGAGGATTCTGGGGGGGGTCACCTTGGATGTTGACACCAGCCACAGAGTCAACACCCAAATTGTGATGATGCTGAAGAATTCATGACAATTTGTCTATTGCAACTATCTACTAAGTTGTCTGGCTGAAGGCAGAAATACTACTCACAGATTCTTCTCCAACTGTAATCCATCTATTTTTCCTTTCCCTTCAGCTGAAGTCAATGTGCCTGTGTTTATCTCCCCCGTCCACCCACCCTTCCCTCTCTTCCCTCCCTTCATTCTTGCCTGCCACGCTTGATGAAAGCAAGAGGGCCATATTTTTTCGCCTTCTTTCAAACCCACTGGCTCTCTCTCCTCTCCAATCACTCAAAGCCCCAACTGCACTGATATGTCCATCAAACAGGCCACAGCCCCATCTCCTTATACAGCTGCCTCTAAGCAGACGCTGCCTCTCTCTCTTGAATGTGCGCCAGTTGTCATTTAGAGGTACATCCATAGTGCACTGGCTCACATCCAGAGGACACATAGATGGATATCTGGCAACAAAAGTGCCTCAACACAGAACCTTAAGTCGAAGCTCCTGTTCCAGATGCTGCAGCTAGAACCGTAATCAGAAGCAGCTCGTAGGTTAGCCGTAACCACCGACTCCTGTTAAGCCTGTCAGGAGCTTCCGGAGTGATCAACGGCGAATATTTAATGCTTTGGTTGGAGCTCTTGAGTGGGAGAGCAGTGGGTGGGGTGCTGCTGAAGACGATGAAAGCAGGACACGCAACTTTATTTTGAATTAAAAGGCATTTTCTCTTAAGGACTCTGGTTTTATAACCACAACGCCGTCTGAGAAAAATGACCACACGCAGCTTTGCTATTTTTACGACTGATTTAAAATTAGACACAGCCTAAAAAAAAAAAGTCTTTTATTTTTTAATAATATCACAAATTGCACTGCCTCCATTTTGGTAACAAACTACTAGAACAACATTGCACATGTGCCTTTTTACTTTTCTCTTCCAAAAACTGCACAGAGATGACTAACAGAGAGGTGCAGAGAGTGACCCCATGCTCGATGGCTAGTTGTTGCCAAGGAGGAAAAAATAACAAACTCCAAAGAGTTGTCAAGTTGGGAAAAACTAAGCTAAGTAACTGAGTAACGATGAAGGTTGGGGATCAGGGAGATATCCAAGCTGAGGTGGTGTCGATTTCCACTCGTTTAAAATAAAAAATTAACATAAACCAAATCCAAATACCTAACCCGCTGTATGAACTACAGACTAACCCCACGCTGTCTGTCAGTGTCAGCGGCTCCGCAGCTCCGCTGAGATCTGTGACATGCAGCCTATCGGTTTTTGACAGCTCTGATCAACATCACCATCAGTATCATTACCATAATCACACAGACTCCTCTCAAACACTCGCACTCACTTTGGGCGATGTGTCCTAAAAATAACCAACCAAAATTGTTTTCCTTTAGAAAAACTGCAACAGTCAGACAAACAGAAATGAAATCATTTAAAACAGATATCGGCAGTGTGTTGTGCAGTAAGTTGGCCTGCGCATACAATAATGCATCACATGCAAGACTGTCAGTGTTTTTATGACAGTTGTTGATAAAGAGCAGCTGGAGCACCATAGCTGTGCTGAAGTAAAACCATCACCGTCTGAGTATTTGGTCAATTATATGAAGGTCGAAAAATGAATCACAATAATTATCGTGATAATCAATTAGTCCTCAATCATAATAATAACAAGTTATTAGGTTCCATTTAATTAGATGACTGGATTTGATGCTTCAATTGTCAATAATGACAGTGAGTTGGTATTAAAGGGTTTAGACTATTGATCAGAAAAAAATATATTTACAAAACAACTTTTGGCTCAGAAGAAATTATAACAGGGACTTCATTTTTTT